CTATTGACAGCCTCTTTTCTCCTTTTTCGCTTCATGTCATCTCTGGCGTCGTTGTCGTAGTGGTCTTACTTTTGCCAAATCGAGTGACCGCTTAATCCGCGACCAGGTTCTAGCCCCATTGCACTATGATCTGCTCATGGTGTCTTTTTAAACTACCTTTTGTACCTGACTCCCAGAAGGCAGAGGACTCTGACGCCTCAGACATGTACGAGGATGCCTGCGATACCGTAGTCGAAGCAACGCCATCTGTGGCGTCACAGGCGGTGCCGACTGTGGCAGATACTGGGGTAGCCACCGGTTCCTCTCTCAACAAGCGCCATAAACTTCCCGAATGGAAACCGGCCAGCGGTGAGGTGCCTGGTTCCATTGCTGAAGCGCTCTCGACCAACCCTCAAAGTCCCGGACTGGTCTTCTGGAACGCTAGTCTCTCCGGTGATGGCACCACTGTGGATGGCTTGCCACGCCAGTGGTTACAACTAGTCTCCCGCGATGTCGCCTCAATGAACGCTCAACCGACACATGCGGCGGGCCCTGCCGTTTCTAGCGCCTCCAGTTCTCCAGAATTCCCGGCCTCACTACATGAGCATGGGGTGCCGGAGGAGGTGACATCTTCCGAGTACCGCCTCAGTGACGCCTACGTCTCCGGAATGCCGGCAAAGCGCCGAAAGGTTCGTGAAGGATCCGGTACCACTTTCCTCTGAAAAATTTTCCTTTTTTGGTTTTAATGGCGTGCCGTTTTATATCCAGTCTCAATTGTTATTGAATTCCTCTGGGCCGCATATTAGACGCTCAGGGGCTCCCATAGATGTTTAAACCATTCTCTGTCTCTCTTGCGGTTTCCGCCTTTCCTGGGTAAAAAGCACCTGTCATGTGCCTTTGTTTGAGCAGCCCGTCCCCCTTGTTAGTTTGTTTCTTCATTACCATATCGTTTGCCGCTCCCACTTACAAAAAGAAATCAGGTAGATCCATACGAACGGGAACACGATGCATAAACTGTCCCACATTCTCTCGTGATACACTAAATGAGTTTTCCATTAAGGGGTTTTAAAATCTGCCGCCCACAATTTTCGTGACCACTTGGCAAAGTAGTTGGAAATGCATGCGTTTCTCCCAATTTAGTCAGTTTAGGCGTCTTCAAAGCTGTGTAACTATAGCACAATGCATCGCTCTGTCAGCTCCTGTTGTCCAACAGAAGTTATAAACATATGACCTCATTTTTAAAGACAAACGGACAGGAAAATCGAGTATTTAGACCATGACTCGAATAAATGAAGGTGTTACTCTGATTTTTCACTTAAATTGTGCTCATATTTCATACGGCTGTCGTCGTGCTCTATCTGGTCGGTTTCGCTAATGCTGCGCATTGTTCTTCGCGCGCGCGCGCGCGCGCGCGACGGTTTGTGGCGTCTGGTCTAGTGAGATGGATCCATCGTCGCCCATGAATACCGGAGATGAAAGAATCCCATCCGCACTTTTACAAGTTTGTCTAACCGACATTTTTGAGTTGACCATTCCATCGCCTCTAGTCAGGCACCAGTGTCGGATTTAGCGTAGCAGCACCTGACCCATGGGGCGGACGACAAAGAACGTGCCGGGACCACACCCGTCATCTTCTTTGATCGACTTGAAATATTTTCGCCATGTCTCAGCGAGTTTGGACTGTCACGTTCGTGACAAAGTCCGTACTTTCCGCCCGAATGATGGTTCTCAGGTGATTGCGGTCAAGCACCTCCAGTTTTCGTTCGCTTTCACGCGCATGGCCGAGTACGCACAACCATATGGGAAAATCGACCGAAAGAATGTTCAATGCGGGAATAGCAATATTATGGCAGGTCCACGTTCACCGAAGACTTACAAAAATCCCGGGATGAGCATTGATTCGGGCGACGATGTCGCCTTTTTTCTTCCCTTTGTGTTGGAACTATTAGATGCCTCTTCTTAAACCCGCTCTCAGTAAGCCGATAGAGCCGTTGTCAATGAGAACTTGACACTTTACGACTGCGGTTTAGGTTAATGCATCAGCCTCCGGCGACGGACCTTCTCATTATTTGTGGTCAGTAGGCGTTCTTATTGAGTAACCCTGTTTTTTTTTAACTGCAGACTGACAATAAAATTCACTCATCAACCACTAATTGGAATACCTGACTGTTAGCGACCCACCTACTACCATAATTCCAACGACTTCAAATTGATGCCGACCAGATCAGGCATGATCAAAGTCTTAAGCAGCTGCAAATACTTAGTGTCTCGAGGCGTTAGTTCAGCACATAGCAGTGTTTATTGCAACTGGCTGCCCATTCAGCGTGCACGGTTACAGGCCCCTCAGTTCTTAGGTTAAATGTCGTGCACTTTTGTCGTTAACGACCCTTTATACTCCGCCTAAGAAGGCGAGTGCTTGATCGAACCTTTTCTCACCCTCCTCTCTGTCACTCACCTTACCATACCGCTTGTTGAGATTACGAACTAGAACGCCGTTGTGCGCCCTCTGTCTTGTAACAGGTCATGCTGGAAAAGAAGGGCACCCTGCTTTGCCCCATACAGAATATGTTCTCCAACCTGCTGAATGAGGCAGTGCTTGCAGCAGAAGCCCCAAACCCCGGTGCTGGACAGTTGTCTGCCCCACCAGTCGGTGGCCTCTCTGCCGCTGCCGCCGCCGCCACAGCGGGTGCCGCCTCAATCCAACCACCCGCGCCTCCGGTGAATCCCGGCGAGGTTACAGATGCCCTGAAGACTTACGTCTCCAATCACCTGTCCAAACGCCTCACCACCGACGCCGACTTCGATCCGGCCCGCTTTCCCAAGGCGGCGGAAGTGTTCCTCAAACCCAAAGTCAAGAAGTGAGCACATGGGGTGTAATTTATAAACGCCTTCCCCCTCCTGTATCGATTAGGTCCCACCTTGCGTCGTTGACTACCCCTCTCCCCCATCTCTCCCAAGTACCTGTTGATCTTTGTCAACCCGTCTCTACATACCTGTCTTTGCTCTTTACTGCTTTCTTCCGCTTCGGATGCCCCCCCCCCCTGTCTGGGCATCATTCGTACGCGCATCTGCGCCCTGGCCCAGATGTATCCACACACACACTGTCTGCCTCTTACGCGGGTGAACTACCAGTCCCCGTCTTATGCACAGTCCTCCTCAACTCCCTTGGTCTTCTGCTTGTCCTCCACTGTCTACTGCCGGTTCCAGCTGTTCTGGCAGGTCGTTTGTTATGAAGTGCATCATTCCTTGTGAAACACCTTTACTCATCTCGGTTCAACCCGGTGCCCACATGCTCATCGGTGACAGAACGCTCTTAGCTGCTGCCAGCTGCAGCAGTTAGACTTCCGAGCCAGGCAGAATTTTGCCACTTATTATTTGCGTCCTCGCCCAGGTAGCTGGTTTTGGCATAGACGAGGTGTGAGGAAGAGTACGTGAAATGTGCGCAAACTGGCAGACGCGACAGTAGGTTTATGGTAGATGGCAACAGTCGACTTTAAACAGAGTTTAAATAATGTGTTTGCGCTTCTAGACAGCAAGTGGCTATGAGCTTCCTTTGCACCAGTCTGGAGGAGAACCGTGCGATGTTTCAAACAAGCTGTTTGGTCTTTTTTCTCAAGTTGCGTCAAAAGTTAACCTTTCTTCGGGCCCAAAATACGAAGACAACGTGATTTTCTACCAAATGAGTGGAAGAAGTCATATTTCTGTGCATTTTTTTCTATATAGGTTTGAATTTATAAGACTGCCGAAAACCAATGTAAAAATTGCGCCACTACAATAAATAGAGGTGCTCTGTTTCGGTTAAGGTGCCCTATGCAAAGAGCTTTGTTTACGGTCCTTGTGTTAGGCCCCATTAGTCAAGCAAAGCGACGAAACCGAATGTCGGACTCTCTGCATGTCATTATTCTCATACTGGGAGCCATGCTTGCACAGTTACGCCTTGGGGCCCAATCTACGGCCCCCACAGGTAGTCTCGAGAAGATAAATAATTATGTAGGAGTGCTGACAGAGACTTGGATGACCACTTCTGGCTTATTAGCCGTCTTCAGGTCGTCTTGTCAAACCCCAGGTTTGTGGGACGTGGGATTCGAACCCGCAATCTATAATCATTGGCTGTTATTAAGTCCGGGCCCCCTGTTCTGTCGATATCGATCGATTCCGGGCCAGTCGAAAGCCATAATATCTACAACTTTGCAGGACGGCTGCAGGATGCCCAACTCTTAGAAAGCAGCTCAGTTAACAGGAGCATCGGTCTGCAAGAGGCCTAGGTGACCCAAGGGACCAGTGTAGGTGTGTGGGTGACGGACAAGTTTCAGCAACAAACCTGCGGTTGGCGCGGACGATAGGAGCGATGGGTGTGTGTGACGCGGGATCCGCAAATTCCTAGGGACGGCACCGGAATGACAATTTACAAGTCAAACTTACCCCAACGACCTCGGCTTACTCTGCAACTTGGTTCTGGGGTATTGTTTCTACCTCCTGGAAATTATCAATCGGTTAAACAGGGCGGCCAGACCCACAAGCGACAAAGTGGACCGGTGGTTGAGGTAGGCAATATGCACCTTGGTCCTAGGTAGGAAACGCCCAGTCATTCGTAGCTCGCGATCTCAATCAAAATGAGAGTAATTCTGTTCCTCAGGAAGAACAGGTCAGGGATTCTTGAACGTGGGCACACAGACCCCGGGAATTTCTGCAGCCATATGAATACCCTCGGATGTGATATCCCCATGCAAGGTATCAGCACAACACGGTCCTAGTTTCTTATGGAAAACGGACATGCAGTTTTCATTATTTAGATTCACTTTTTCTGTCAAGTGCTCCACTAAAAGTCTTGACGTTAAACTGACTAAGCTGCTCCCAGGTTCTTTTATTAGCGCGCTCCGGACGTTTCTGTCTAGAATCATTGTTATGCGTATATTAACTGCTCATTTGATTTCGAGCAAAACGCGACCAACAGTCGCTTGACGGTGATGCTTTTGTCGTTGCCGAGTGGTTTTTAACACACTGGCGTGCAGAAGGGGTGTTTATGAGTCTGCCGTAACGGAGGTCCTCGTGCTGATTGGTTCGTCTTGCCAGTATTCGGCCGGTATCTTGCGCAGAGCACCGGCGCAAACGTCTCCAATTCCCTAAAATGAAAAAGCACGTATATCAGTTGAGCCCTCCCGTCATCTTGTCTTGGAGAAGGCGTTCGAAAAACGAATCCCAGAAGTACAAATCCTTAGCTAGTCCGCTCTTGTACATGCCGTGGGACCAGGTTATGTATTGCACGCCTACGCGGGTTGTGTAGGTCTGTCAGATACTGCGTACGAACACGCCTTGACATTATGCTATCGAAGCCAGATGGAAGAGTGTGGTAGGTGCTACGCAAGTCACCATCATGTGTCCGTCTCGTTGGGCACACAGGGGACATTGTCGCTCGCGACGGTCGAACTGTCGTCTGGCGCACGCTGTCTCCCTTTGTTTTTGCGTTGCTGGATACTTTGATGCAAAACAGTCGAACACTGTTCCCCACCGAGAACTAAATCAAAATACGAAAAGAAGGACTGGGAAGGCTGAAATTCGGTTTCGGTAGTCGACCGGTCGCTTGAAGTGAACGGCATATATATCCCCAGCACTCCGCGGCATGATGAGACTGACATTGGTTTAGGCGCGTACAAAATAGCTTATGTGCATAACCCGCTGAGCGCATGAGAATAAGAGAACGTACATGAATTACGGGAAATCGGTTGAAAATCTCCTTGAGAAGTCGCTTAATCTTGTCCAGTTCCCCCACTAGCGCTTCGACAATGCCATCTGCAAAAAAAGCATGGTAGTTAAGGTAGTACTTGAAGGTCGGAAATAGAATCAAAAGAAAGTGCACAGACTTTTTAATAAAGAAAAGAGACAAATGACCGTTATGACTTCGCTTTACTCTTTTCAGCCAAGACTATGGGTCATGCAAAGTCAGACAAGTGGAAATAGTCTGTAATTTTAACAATTTGCGCAAACTTTCAACAAGTGGCCGCGCTAATATTATTGTAAAATAATTTTGTTCAAAAGCATGTATCACTATCGGTGAAGCTAGTAGTATTTTACCTAAATCGGGGTTAAACCTGGAAGTTCCTCTTCCACCGAATTCACTCCACACTCGATTGATAGAAATAATAATTTTATTATAAAGCGCAAATCATTCTGTCTACGGGGAGGCTAGTGGGTTGTGACCAGTAATTTGCATCAGACTCTGGGTCTTAGCGTTTTATTTAAACAAGTCTGCCGCAAGGGCGAGAAGTACCCTCTACAACCTAACATTCGGCGATCAAACAACCAATGCTCCTTTACTCCAATGACTGTTATAGTGAGCGGGTTTTTTTTAACATCGACTGGGCTTTCTTTCCTAAAAACCCTGTTTGCTTTGAACAAAAATAAGGCACAAGAGCTAATTACCATAACTTAACATGGCGTCAGCCACGGAGCACACCGCCTCAATTATTGTCAGGTTGTCAAAGTGCGTTCTGTAGATGTCGTCCAGACATTTGATAGCTTTGGATTCGTTGTCCATGTTCACGCAATGAATAAAATGAAGTGCCTGCTTTTCTGTAAGAAAAAAAGGCATAAAGTGACCTGAGAGTGGAGTTCATCGATTTGGCCTGGTTGCAGCACAGAATAGGGACGTCTCATTTAGCTTCAAACCCACGTAAATAGACGAGTAGTGGCGAGCGACCAACAAGACAGACGTGTCACTGACGAAGACAAGAGAGAAGATCGGAACGGTTAATTCTGGTGGTCGGGTTACTGTCGTCATACTTCACAAGCCCAGACAGGCTGAGGCTCAGATGTGCTCACTAACTGGGCAGCTAGTTGCCGCAAGTGGGAGGACGTCTATCGACCTGTTATAATTGCAAGATGGTGTGCCGTGATGCAGTGGACACTACCGGATTGCTCTGCTTCAATACTACTTTACGTGTTTCAGTCCTAGGACACACAAAAAGTGAACTTGACGAAGACGCGGGTCATAATTGCTCTTTTGTTTTTAATCTTTAGGACAAAATACACGATTAGTTCCTGCATGCCTGAAACTCTACGGGTATGACATGGTCATGTGTACCGATCGTCGTTAAAAACAAACTGAAATGAGGCCACTGTTGAACAGCGTCACTGAACTGGAGGATTATTTAGGCTAAAAAATGGTTTTAACCAGGAAAGCCTTAAAGCAACGGTACTTCAAATAGGGACCACATTTTTATCACTCTTGTTGGCACATCTGAAGAGTAAGAACGCACAGGCAAGTTCAAATCTCATGAAATTCGCTCATGGAAAGTCATGTGTGAACGCTGGCCGTGAGAAGTTTGAACATCTAAAGTAAAGTATTATGACAAATGTATGCCCACATTAAAACTCCCCTTCTTCCAGCTGTTAGAGAATGCTGTCGGGCCAGATTACGGGAAGTGGGGAATTTTCCCGGTCAGAACTTATGGATCGAGTCAGTTATTTTCGGTACATAAGAGCCTTACCTTTGACTAAAAGTCGGCTCGCCCTGCGAGTCAGGAAGAACGGAATAGAGACTGGTTAATGCAACTGGCCGGTGTAAGCAAGGTAGCCCGAAGGCAGCCAGTTAGATGCTAATTTGAAGCTTACGTTGTTCATCTCCGTCTGGTTGATTGAGCTCCCTAATGCCCATAATTTGCTTTCATAAATGTCATGTTCGTGGATAACGACGTGATCACGATGCTGCACCTGCCTTACCGGAGCGTGGCCAACCTCGTCGCCAGAGACAGTCGGGATACTGTGTGTGAAAACGGCATATTTAGAACAGCCATAATTATTCACAGACTAAGAGGCAAAAACCGTTTTTCGTCACATTCTGCTACAAAACCCGAAATACTTATCAGTCCTTGTGCAGTTTTGATGACATCGTAAAACGAGAGATTGCCAAGATTAGTTGATTCATGTTTTGAATCCAACACAATTGCCTGACCCTCTAATTTTGGAAACGTCTTGTTTATCTCACCTGATCTGTGGAGAATTGTGCTCATGGCCAGGAGGGCATTATGACAAAGGTCCGGGTAACTGAGGAAGTTTTCCACCATGGTCAATAGAAGAGCACTGACATCCAGGTCAGTCAGTGCTTCCTCCGTTAGCGCAGCTAAAGAGTAGGGGGAAATTTGAGACGCTTACTTTCACTGGCCAGAGCAGAAATACAAAGTGCTGCTTGATTCAAAACGCCAATGTGCTGTGGATAGGCCTTCATGGCGTCGTAGACTGCTACAAATGCGCCCTTTTCAATGAAGCTCTTAGCGTTTTTACCTGAAAAAGAAGAAGAGGAAAGAACCCGGGTGAGTTTTCAGATCCCAGAGACTTTTGTACAATGAAACGGCCGCCTACTGTTCTGTCCCTGGCCCCACTTGACTATTGTAATGCTGTTACATAATGCCGCTGCTGACGTCGCAGTGTGACCATAGATAGTGCTGCACGAATTGTAGTAGTATGGAAAATGGGATACAGTTAACAGTATGTAATGAAAGGGGTGCAGTTGGAAAAGAGTACTCACGGTCAACACTCAGCTTCCACAACACAGACAGAGCAGGCCTCAACAACTCGGAAATACCCTCTCGCACCTTCCGCAGAGCACCGAGGATGAGATCAACAAAGCCCATCTCACACAGTTTCTGGCACAGTTTTGCATGCTTTTCCCAGAAGGCGTTCTCCACCTTTCTCTGAAAGCTGATGTGTCCCGGTGGGCAGAAGACTGCATCCAACAGAGCGAAGCCGTTGCCCAACACTCGGTCGACTGAGGCGTGCTTTTCAATGAGGTCATATATCATCTGAAAGGTGTTTGCATTCCAGAAGGTACTGTTGTCTATCAGGGTCTCCAGGAAGGTAGTCTCGTTCGGTCCCATTGAGGCAGTCGACTTGGCGTCCTCCAAGTGCATCTTTCCCACCACAGTACAGTGTGCCAGGATGGCCAGCGCATGTTCGGCAACGAGGCTGTTCTCGTTGTGCACAAGGATGGCTCGCCAGACATGCAGAGGCAGTAGGTCGGGAACATCGGCGCCGGCCCGGCATGCATTTTCGGCCACCCAGGCCAGACAGGCGGCTGCGCAGTTCTCATGTTCAATGTTGTCGGTGAGGTAATTCAGAATCGCGCGCAGTCCACCCGTACTCGGCAGATTACCTAGACAAGAAACATACTTGCTACGCATGCGCATAGACATCAAGTATACAATTTCATGTATTATTATACAACATTTTCAAAAGTCCCTTCTTGCTACTGGTCACATATGTATCGTCGCCAAAAATCACACAGTAATGTTACTGAAGGAGAGATCTCTTGAGAGACACAGAAAATTGCGTAATTACAATCGCAGCCGCCAATTCCACCCAAATTTCTTAATCACTGGCCAGACTTGCTTATATTATACGTTGTCAAGGAAGCAATGTAATTTTAATTAAAGTCGACATTACTTCATATCGGGGCGGTTTCTTATGGTAACGGCGTTCACTGGTCTGAAGAATAACGTTAATATGCGTGAACAAGGTTCGCTAAAACCCTGTTGGCCAGCTCAAAGCTCGACTTTTTCAATAGGCATAGTCCAGGTAGGACAAACGACAAGAATTACTGAGTTACATCCAATGGTAGGGGGCGCTCACCGATCGTTCATACGGACCGCACTCGTTCCGTTGTGCCTTAAGGGCTCTCTCTCGAGCCCAACCAGCAGCCGTACAGCGGCGCATGATATATAGGCAGACTGACATTACCCACAAAGACAAGGGAGACTGGAATGGCCATTTCTGGCTTATTAGCCGTCGTCAGCCAGCCATACCCAAGCCCGAAGTGTGGAACACCCGAGCCTCGAACTCGCGACCTGTTGGTTTAGAAGTCCACGCCTCTACCCACAGGGCCACGAGCCCGTTGCCATGTCGGTTTTCGATCGGGAATTACATCCAATGAGAGGGGAGTGTTTTCGACAACGATAGGGTGTAGGACCCCCAACTAACTTGAGCTAGCCTGTGGACCATGTTATACGTTGGTGGTAGAGGGGGTTTTATCGGGTGGGGCAACACGCAGGACGTAGAGCAAGAAGACACGGAAACTATTTAAATTTCTGCTGCAAATTTTATCGTATGCTGCTGTTTGGCAAAGGAAGTGAACGCGATAATAAAAAATAAACAAAAAGCAGCTTTCAAAAAATAAGGAACTTCGAATTAAACGCCGCAGGTAAGTTTACATAAAGTCTGAAAAGGAAGGAAATTTCAATGAATGGGAACGGTGGATAATTAGTGATGTTTACAGTCACACTGAATTTTAAGGTATATTTTTGGAGTTGTCATGTACTTGGGGGTCCTACACCCTATAGTAACCATTTTTCTTCTTAAGAAACACCCTTTCAATGTGTGCAATTTTGCATCCTGGAGAGTAATGATAGTTCCGGTGGGCAATCTCTAGTTCCGCTGCACCCGTAGTCTCTAGAAAAGTGCGAATATTCTAGAATTAACAGCCAAACATGTCTTCGCCACTTTAGCTGCCCTGTGTACAGTTAAGAAACAACTCAGAAACGCGCCTGGAACGGTTCCAATCGTCAGAAAGACCACTTAACGCTTTCATTGTCCCGCTAGAGTACACTTTTAATGATAACTAAAGTAATAATAACTAAAGCGATCCCAAAATAGGGATTTTTTCGTTTATTGCAGAACCATTGTCGGTGTCAATCTGTTTCTGTCATCATTTTCGAAAAAGGGGAAATGCATGAGCAATTATCTGTAAAACTCCACAGCAATGCGCTTTAAAAAGAAAAAATTCCGTTGGGAGTGTTTTTATTTATCCAGCGACATATTCACTGTCGACCTTCGTTAGTGAGGTCCAGATTCTCCGGTAAAGGTTTTTTATGCCTAAGTTGGACTGCGGTCAAAACCACCATCTACAGTAGGTGGGCTAATTCATGAAATGTCAACCGAAATTCCGAAATGTGTTTTCGTTTCTAAAATATTAATTAAGTATGGTTGTAAAACTAATCATCGCGCAGCATAATTCTATAATAATTCAGTTACCGCAAGATGCCGGCTTTCGAACGAACTCCTTTTCGGCTACATGCGAAAACTACACTCTGTAACAAATGACTACTTAGGTAGCATACTTTTTTTTTCATTGATTTTTGATGCTGCTAAAGGTCCAATTATACTTCATGGGAAACATGAATAAAGATATTTATTCTTTCGCTCATTTGGTAGAAAATGACGTCTTTCAATTTTATACTCGAAGGAGGGAGATAATTCGGTTTTTAAAAAGTTTCTAATTGTGAAATCTTTTAATACCGTGAAATGGCCGTTCATAAAGCGTCATGTCTCTGCATTTGCCAATGTCGCTTGTAAAGTTGAGATGGATCAAATCCAATGCTAAATTTTATGAACCCCACATGGTCTCCTCTCAATACTGTAGAGAAATGATTGGTTTTCCGTACGTGGAAAATACATGGCTTGTAGGTTGGAAACCCTGAATGCAAGTGTGACGGCAGAGCGGGTTCAAAATTATTCGGAAATTAGAAGAGTTTTTGAAAACCGAATTATACCCTTCCTTCGAGTATAAGATTGGAAAAAGACGTAATTTGCTGCCGAATGAGCGGAAGAATGAATATTTTTGTTCATGTTTTCTATGAAATATAATTGGATATTTAGGGACATCGAAAATCAATGAGAAAAAGTCATGCTACTTAAGCAGTGATTTTTCACAGAGCATAGTTTTTGCATGCAGCCGGAAGGAACTTCATTCGAAAGCCGGCATCCTGAGGCAGCTGAATTATTATAGAATTATGTTGCAGGCTGACTACTTTTACAACCCTACTTAATTAATCTTTTCGAAACGAAAACGCATTGCGGAATTTCGGTTGATACTTCATGAGTTAGCCCACCTACTGTACGTACAAAACAACGGTGGGGCACGGGATTAGGTGTCCCCTCCCTCCCGTATTGCGCTAAATTCCAGGGGGAGGATTAGGACTGGAAGACGGGAATAAGGACCGCCTGAAATTTAGCGCAAAACCATCTGTCACATAGGGAGCGGGACACCCAGTTCCTTGTCCTACCAAATTAACTTTCGAGGACGCATTACAAGGGCAAAATTTATGCAGACTTGTCTACATTGGGAGGTTTTGATAATTATGAGATGCAGAAACCGTTCCTTATGCTCACCGACTCAGGATAATCGAAACAGGAAATGACTACTGAAAGCTTCATGGGCACCTTGAAATTCAGAAACGTGACCGTCGCCCGAAGGATCCGACAAATTTTATCAACGGAAAGCTGCAGGCTTATAGTCGCGTTTGTTAGGTGTACCCTGCTTCTTACCGACCAGCATCTCGACATGGGACCTAGCGATGACTTCTGTTTCTGTGACCTCCTCAGCAAGGCAATCACGCGAAATCATCTTAGTCCTTGTTGTCGCTAGCCAACCAAAGCCAATTCCAGGTTTAGATAACTAGAGATTTGAACCCCGGAACATGCTCACTCCCTGTCAACTTGGGGCTCAATCTAGAGCCCTCGCAGACGGCAATGACTGAGGTGGCCATTTCTGGCTTATTAGCCATCGTCAGCCGACCATACCCAGCCCCAGATATTTACAGCCTGGAATTAAAATCGAGATTCTTTGGCCATTGAATTTTAAGGGGTAAAGCTTGCTGGACCCACAGTTTTATTTTTTCGACGTCCTGTACTTTCAGTCTAGCTCATCGTCAGAAATAGACGAAAACGGATAGCGCGAACAAGACCTTCAGCGGAGGTTAATCCTCAAACGAGCTGTTTGATTTACGGCTGCTTACTTATAAGCAACGTAGGTACTTTAGAATAATGGTGAGGGCGGTGAAAGACGAGCAAGAAAACTAGGCGGGGCTAGTGACCAAATTTTAATTTTGATGACCATTCGTCTTCGGACATAATCCTTAAAGTGGTTGGAGTCAAGGCATCGAACCCGAGTGAAGGTTTCAAAATCAGCGACGAGGAGGGTTGACCGGGTGAATGAGAAGACGAGGAATCGACAACGCGTTGATTGGCGGGCAGGACGAAGGTGAAATTGCTGCTCATCCACTGTGCACCACTTTATATCCATTCGAATTAACCTACTATCGTCAGCAAAACCTTACAGCAGGAAATGACACCGACTGCGAACAGAGTTGATGGACTCTGATCTAACCAAAGTGCCTTCGGACGATCATGACATCTTAGAAGTCGTGGCCTGGAAGACCATCGGTTTACAGAAAACTAAACCACTCTCTAGCAGAATACCATTACCGACAAAGACAAGGGGACTGGGGTGCCCACTTCTGGCTTATTAGCCTTCGTCAGCCAGCCACACCCAGCCCCGAAGAGTGGAACACCTGCGGCTCGATCCCGTGAACTGTTAGTTAGAAGTCCAACGCTCCTAGCAACTGAGTCAGGGACTCGCTGTCCTGTCGGTTGCGATCAGGTGTATACAATGGTAGAAGGGCGCTCACCGATCGTGCTATGGAGCACACTCGTCCCGCCTTGTGCCTTGGAGCTCTCTCTCGAGCCTCGCCAGCAGCCGCACAGCGGCGCATGATATAGACAGAATGGCCCTACCGACAAAGACAAGGGTGAGCGTCTTGTCAATAAATGAAAGCTGCCTAATGCGGTGCCCTAAGCTGCTTTCAAGTGTACGAGAATGTGAATGGGCGTAGGGCCGGTGATTTGGGCGCGAATTAGTTTATAGTGAGGCAGTCTGACGCGGCACCAGCTGCGCTCTCTCTGGCTCTCCCCCCTCGCCCATCTTGCTCCCATAACAAAACAACGTCAATCGCCGTGAGGCGGACGCGGACGCAATTTCGGACAAATCTAAATAGCCCTCCTGGACGTGCCACATACGTCTGTGTCTCCACTGCATGTACCAGGAGGGACAACTCGGATCTCACGTGGGTGAGGATTTCATAAAGGCCGCATTAAGGAGCCATTGCAGTTTGACTCTGAGCCCTGAGGGGATCGAGTTATCCCCGTCAGTGGGCACCTTCCCCAGCTGCACCTCTTAACGCATCACCTGTGCAGATGCTGCATCCTTGCATGTCCCAGGTCGTCTTGGGGGGAGGGTGGGGGGGATGCGAAAAACGGACGCGGCCGACGCTCACTACCACGCACCCGCAGCTCCACAGCTAATGGAGCGTGAAAGAAAAGTACTTTTCGAAAAGGCCTGCTGTGAATTGGAACAGTGGGCCCGCAGACGCACTCCCGACTGCCCTCGCATGCCGACACGTAGCCCCACCTCTGACTCGCCAGCGCATCTGTGGCCACCCTTTGCTTCTGACTATCAGCTAGCGCTCCTGCTGGCCCGGGGTACGCCCGGCCGATGTACATGCTGGCGCGGCCCATTTGTTCGTGCGAGCGTCGACCCCCTAATGTCCCCACTCGTGGCCAGGGGGACAAGTTGGTCGCTGAGGTATTTTGGGAACAGCGGTGCACGCTTCACTGACACGTCGCTCAGTCGAACAGATCCCTTTTGTTACCGACACTCCGAGGGGAATTTTCCCAGCGCATCGAGGTGTAGAAAACACAAGACTTGGAATCATACGTGGCCTTTCACCCCCTGACAATGTGCTGCTGGCGGAATAGATCGGCGTTTCTTTGTGCAGGACGGCAAAGATCGGGTGAAGGACCCCAAACACACAGGACCAGTCAAAGGTGTCTGCTTTACGGGAAGTGTGGTAATAGGGGTTTTACGGGCGGGGCCTATGTATGCATAGATGAATGGCAAAATAAGTATAGGTAATTGATAAATTCGTTTTTCGGGCGGAAAAGTTTAACTGCATTGACACACAGCAATCGAAATTATGCGGAACAATTAAAAAAAGTAAAAATTAAGTGTCTACAACGAGTGTCTATCAGCTCTCTGAGCCGAGATCATTGCAGGTAATGCACCAGACCGTGGGCAACAGACGACCCAACCTTGTACGATGAAACACCAAACCGAAGTAATCGCGTCGAGCGAAAACCCACTAAAATAAGTATGGTAGGCATTCTTTGTATGCCACAGATGCTTGGGGTCCTTCACCCGATCCTTACCTGCAGGACTTCCAAAATTACATAAGTTGCACGCAGCAGTTCATCTTTCTGTCTCTGATAACAGTAGCTGACTGAATTATTGATTTTTCCACGGCATTTAAAGAGGCATTCTATAAAGCTTAATGCACACAAACTTGTGTGTAAATGCGTGTACCCCGAACTCACATTCTGAGAGCGGCCTCATCATGCGCTTCTTCCGCAGTTTCCGTTTCGAGTCTGTGAATTCAAGCAGGGCCTGTGTGTACTCGTGTGCGTGTA